CCCTAATGAAACAATTTATACAATATCTCAAACATTTTACACAAAATCTATTGATGTGTTTTACAAAATCTCGGTGAAACATATTACACAAATTCCGTTGACATATTTTTACAAAATCCCAATGAAACAATTTATACAAAATCTTGGTGAAACAATTTATACAAAATCTCGATGAAACATCTTATGCAAATTCTTGGTGAAACAATTTACACAAATTCTGTTGATATGTTTTGCAAAATCCTAATGAAACAATTTACATAAAATCTCGGTGAAACAGTTTATACAAAATCTCGATGAAACAGTTTATACAAAATCTTGATGAAACAATTTATACAAAATCTTGATGAAACAATTTATACAAAATCTCGATGAAACAGTTTATACAAAATCTTGATGAAACAATTTATACAAAATCTTGATGAAACAATTTATACAAAATCTTGGTGAAACAATTTATACAAATTCCGTTGACATATTTTGCAAAATCCTAATGAAACAGTTTATACAAAATCTCGATGAAACATCTTATACAAAATCTCGATGAAACAGTTTATACAAAATCTTGGTGAAACAGTTTATACAAATTCCGTTGACATATTTTGCAAAATCCTAATGAAACAGTTTATACAAAATCTCGATGAAACATCTTATACAAAATCTCGATGAAACAGTTTATACAAAATCTTGATGAAACATTTTATGCAAAACCCCGGTGAAACAATTTACACAAAATCTGTCGACATATTTTACAAAATCCTAATGAAACAATTTATACAAAATCCCGGTGAAACAATTTACACAAATTCTGTTGATATGTTTTGCAAAATCCTAATGAAACAGTTTATATAAAATCTCGATGAAACAATTTACATAAAATCTCGGTGAAACAGTTTATACAAAATCTCGGTGAAACAGTTTATACAAAATCTTGATGAAACATTTTATGCAAAACCCCGGTGAAACAATTTACACAAAATCTGTCGACATATTTTACAAAATCCTAATGAAACAATTTATACAAAATCCCGGTGAAACAAATTACACAAATTCTGTCGATATATTTTACAAAACCCTAATGAAACAATTTATACAAATTCTGTCGATATATTTTACAAAACCCTAATGAAACAATTTATACAATATCTCAAACATTTTACACAAAATCTATTGATGTGTTTTACAAAATCCCAGTGAAACAACTTACACAAAATCCATTGATATATTTTACAAAATCTTATGAAACAATTTACACAAATTCTATTGACGTATTTTACAAACCCCCGATAAAACAAATTATGCAAAATCTCGGTGAAACATATTACACAAATTCCGTTGACATATTTTTACAAAATCCCAATGAAACAGTTTATACAAAATCTCGATGAAACAGTTTATACAAATTCCGTTGACATAATTTACAAATTCCTGGTGAAACAATTTATACAAAATCTTAATAAAACAATTTACACAAAATCTTGGTGAAACATTTTATACAAATTCCGTTGACATATTTCGCAAAATCTTAATGAGACAGTTTATACAAAATCTCGACGAAACATTTTATGCAAATTCTTGGTGAAACATTTACATAAATTCTGTTAATGTAATTTACAAAACCTTGGTGAAACATATTTTGCAAAATCCTAATGAAACAGTTTATACAAAATCTCGATGAAACATCTTATGCAAATTCTTGGTGAAACAATTTACACAAATTCTGTTGATATGTTTTGCAAAATCCTAATGAAACAATTTACATAAAATCTCGGTGAAACAGTTTATACAAAATCTCGATGAAACAGTTTATACAAAATCTGTCGACATATTTTACAAAATCCTAATGAAACATTTTATGCAAAACCCCGGTGAAACAATTTACACAAATTCTGTTGATATGTTTTGCAAAATCCTAATGAAACAATTTACATAAAATCTCGGTGAAACAGTTTATACAAAATCTCGATGAAACAGTTTATACAAATTCCGTTGACATAAATTATACAAAATCTTGGTGAAACGATTTACACAAATTCCGTTGACATAATTCACAAAATCTTGGTGAAACATTTTATACAAAATCTTGGTGAAACATTTTATACAAAATCTTGGTGAAACAATTTATACAAATTCCGTTGACATAAATAATACAAAATCTTGGTGAAACGATTTACACAAATTCCGTTGACATATTTTGCAAAATCCTAATGAAACAGTTTATACAAAATCTCGATGAAACATCTTATGCAAATTCTTGGTGAAACAATTTACACAAATTCTGTTGATATGTTTTGCAAAATCCTAATGAAACAATTTACATAAAATCTCGGTGAAACAGTTTATACAAAATTTCGATGAAACAGTATATACAAAATCTTGATGAAACAATTTATACAAAATCCCGGTGAAACAATTTACACAAAATCTGTCGACATATTTTACAAAATCCTAATGAAACATTTTATGCAAAACCCCGGTGAAACAATTTACACAAATTCTGTTGATATGTTTTGCAAAATCCTAATGAAACAATTTACATAAAATCTCGGTGAAACAGTTTATACAAAATCTCGATGAAACATTTTATGCAAAACCCCGGTGAAACAGTTTATACAAATTCTGTTGATATGTTTTGCAAAATCCCAATGAAACAATTTACATAAAATCTCGGTGAAACAGTTTATACAAAATCTCGATGAAACAGTTTATACAAAATCTCGATGAAACAGTTTATACAAAATCTCGATGAAACATTTTATGCAAAACCCCGGTGAAACAGTTTATACAAAATCTCGATGAAACATTTTATGCAAAACCCCGGTGAAACAATTTACACAAATTCTGTCGATATATTTTACAAAATCTTGGTGAAACGTTTTATACAAAATCTTGGTGAAACAATTTATACAAATTCCGTTGACATAAATTATACAAAATCTTGGTGAAACGATTTACACAAATTCCGTTGACATATTTTGCAAAATCCTAATGAAACAGTTTATACAAAATCTCGATGAAACATCTTATGCAAATTCTTGGTGAAACAATTTACACAAAATCTGTCGACATATTTTACAAAATCCTAATGAAACATTTTATGCAAAACCCCGGTGAAACAATTTACACAAATTCTGTTGATATGTTTTGCAAAATCCTAATGAAACAATTTACATAAAATCTCGGTGAAACAGTTTATACAAAATCTCGATGAAACATTTTATGCAAAACCCCGGTGAAACAATTTACACAAATTCTGTCGATATATTTTACAAAATCTTGGTGAAACATTTTATACAAAATCTTGGTGAAACATTTTATACAAAATCTTGGTGAAACAATTTATACAAATTCCGTTGACATAAATTATACAAAATCTCGATGAAACATCTTATGCAAATTCTTGGTGAAACAATTTACACAAATTCTGTTGATATGTTTTGCAAAATCCTAATGAAACAATTTACATAAAATCTCGGTGAAACAGTTTATACAAAATCTCGATGAAACAGTTTATACAAAATCTTGATGAAACAATTTATACAAAATCCCGGTGAAACAATTTACACAAATTCTGTTGATATGTTTTGCAAAATCCTAATGAAACAATTTACATAAAATCTCGGTGAAACAGTTTATACAAAATCTCGATGAAACAGTTTATACAAATTCCGTTGACATAAATTATACAAAATCTTGGTGAAACGATTTACACAAATTCCGTTGACATAATTCACAAAATCTTGGTGAAACATTTTATACAAAATCTCGATGAAACAGTTTATACAAAATCTTGATGAAACATTTTATGCAAAACCCCGGTGAAACATCTTATGCAAATTCTTGGTGAAACAATTTACACAAATTCTGTTGATATGTTTTGCAAAATCCTAATGAAACAATTTACATAAAATCTCGGTGAAACAGTTTATACAAAATCTCGATGAAACAGTTTATACAAAATCTCGATGAAACAGTTTATACAAAATCTCGATGAAACAGTTTATACAAAATCTCGATGAAACATCTTATGCAAATTCTTGGTGAAACAATTTACACAAATTCTGTTGATATGTTTTGCAAAATCCTAATGAAACAATTTACATAAAATCTCGATGAAACAGTTTATACAAAATCTCGATGAAACATCTTATGCAAATTCTTGGTGAAACAATTTACACAAATTCTGTCGACATAATTTACAAAATCCTAATGAAACATTTTATACAAAATCCCGGTGAAACAATTTACACAAATTTTGTCGATATATTTTACAAAACCCTAATGAAACAATTTATACAATATCTCAAACATTTTACACAAAATCTATTGATGTGTTTTACAAAATCCCAGTGAAACAACTTACACAAAATCCATTGATATATTTTACAAAATTTTATGAAACAATTTACACAAATTCTGTTGACGTATTTTACAAACCCCCGATAAAACAAATTATGCAAAATCTCGGTGAAACATATTACACAAATTCCGTTGACATATTTTTACAAAATCCCAATGAAACAATTTATACAAAATCTTGGTTAAACAATTTACACAAATTTTATTGATATAATTTGCAAAATCTTAAAATCTGTTGATATATTTTGCAAAACCTTATCTTAATGAAACATTTTATATAAATTCTGTTGACACATTTTACAAAATCTTAATGAAACAATTTACATAAATTCTGTCGATATATTTTACAACATCCCAATGAAACAATGTGTACACAGGTTAGATAATTTGCACGATTCTTATTGAAACAATTTATGCAAATACTATTGATGTAAATGTAAATGTAAAAGTCAAGACAAAAATGATAACAGCTGTTTTATCAATAATATTTAATGAAACAATCGATATATTAATAGTGTTATTTACAAAAAAACCGAGTGGTTCTGGTTCTGGTTCTGGTTCTGGTTCTGGTTCTGGTTCTGGTTCTGGTTCTGGTTCTGGTTCTGGTTCTGGCTCTAGCTCTAGCAAGATAAACGGGTCATAAAAATTGAACGCTACAAGCAATTGATATTTATTTTATATAAATTATATTTTAGTAGTTCGGTTTAATAAAAATGAATGATCTTAACATAATTCCGGCCGGACCTCCTCGAAAAAATCCTTTATCAATTAACGCAATAAATAACTCGACTGTAACAATTGTTATTACATTCGGAATTGCCGTAATTTACTTTTCATTGATGCAAGTATTTGATTCCACATATTATGTTTTTAGACAGGCATTTATTGAGCAAGATCCCCGGCTTTCAATGCGATTTATTGAAAAAACACATGTGTCAAATACATTGCTTGTACTTCTTAGTTCTTTTGTTCCGGGTATTGGTTTGTTGATAACTATTGTGTTTTTTTCAACCCGTGTTAAATCCACAAGACGCGTTCAAATTTATGCATTTATTGTGTTTGCATGCCTAAAAATATGCCTTCTTCTAAATTCTGCTGTCACAAACTCACTAAAAATACTTTACGGTGCACCAAGACCAAATTTTTTTGCTGCATGTAATTATCGGGGTTATAGAGACGCATTAGCTAATAACAATTATACCGAGTACTTTGGTCTTACTCATTTTGGGAGAATTGGGGACATTTTACACTGTAGGGATAAATCAGACATCAATAATGCATTTATGTCATTTCCCTCAGGCCACTCATCTTTAATGTTTGCTGGGACAACATTTATGATATTGGTCATGTTTATGTTTAGAAAATATCATAGTCTAATGTATGTATTGGCAGTTATTATGTCGAGCGGTGCAATTGTACTCTCAACATGGGTAACTTATACAAGAGTTGCTGACTATAAACATAACACACAAGATGTACTTGGAGGAACTATTATTGGAATAATAATTGGCTCTATAATATTTCAATTTGCAAAAGACCAAATACACCGTTCTAAAATTGAAATTAAGACTATATGCGAAATATGTCAAATATAAAAACTTTTTGTATTAAATATAATAATGGAAACATATACATTGACATTTGGAAACCGCGCAGAGAATCACAAAGGAATGCAAATTATTGGGAGTAACATGGATCACGGATTATTACATGACGATCTTATAAAAATCCAAAAGTTTTTCAATGATGCCGGATGTGTAACAAAACTAATAAATCTGAACTTATTGCTCAATGACAACAACAATAACAATAACAATATTGAGAAAGCGGAGCTTTTAGTTGTTAAAAATGGGATTAACAAACTCGTTAACTCAAATGACCTGTTTGAAGAGCAAAAAGGTCTTGACAAAGATACAAAGGCATATATGTACGGTAGAGTTGTTAATAAAAAGGCAAGGTATAATTTATGTTTTAGTGATTTTTCCCAAGTTGCTGATTATCCAAACAAAAAAGGAACTGTATACAATTTTAAGGATGTTAAATTTTTAAATATTCTGAGAAATAAATTAGGTCAAATACATCCATTGCTAAAAAAACTTCAATGTGAAGGCAATTATTACTATGACATAAATAAAACTTTTATCGGATTTCACGGGGATTCCGAACGCGAAATTGTTGTCGGATGTAGATTAGGAGCAAATTTTCCTTTATACTATCAATGGTATTATAAAGGAAACGCCGAAGGAAATCTTTTTAAAGTAGTTTTAACTCACGGGGACATTTATTTTATGTCCGATAAAGCTGTTGGAAGAGATTGGAAAAGCTCAAGTATTTACACCCTTCGCCATGCAGCAGGACTAGAATCAAATGTCGGTCTATAATAATTCGTGTTTTGATTTTTTAACAATAGTTTTATTGACGCAGTTATTAAAAAAAGTCATATTGCGCTAGTAAAACAAGAATTACTGCAAAAAAAATTGTGACTGTATTAACTTTTATACCAACATAATATATTATTGTTTTTTTAAAAGTAATATAGTACTGATATGATAAGATAAGATAAGATAAAATGAAATAAACATTCTTATTATGGAACATTCTTATTACAAAATATTCTAAAAAGATTGCGTAAATGACTTTAGGATTAAGATTACCATTTTTATTATCTTTAGGATAAACATTTTTAATCAATACATATTGAAACGCCGACTTTTAAAAAATGAGTCGGCCACTTTCAACTAAATATATTATTGGCAAAAAAGTAAAAAAAGAATATATTTGATATATTTGATATATTTAATATATTAAAATAACAAAATAATAAATTGCTCTGATCATGTTTTCGGGAAAACTTTTCATAATGGATGAAAAAACCTTGGACAATTCTTCTGTCGACATATCATTTGATTTAACGTCTTTTGTATTTGTATTTGTATTAGATCCGTTTACCATTGTTAACATGTCATTTGCCGGGACAACATTTATATCTGATACATTTTTTTTATTTAATTCGTTTATTAATGTTGCAATGTTAATAGGTGGACTGTTGTTAGTTAAAACTGCTGATTTATTTTGATCAGCTGATTTAATTGCATCAACGCGTTCGGTATTTTTGTCGGTATTAAGAACGGATTTTTGAACTGGTTCGTCAATTGTTTTTTTAATATCTTCAGACTGAGTTTGACCTTTAGATTGATCCTTGGATTGACCTAATGTGTCTAACTCCGATAATTTATTTATAAAAAAATGTTTGGTTGTCGGAACTATATGATCTACTACCATTTTATCATTATGAGTGCCCGTCTGGCCCGTGGTTTTATTTTTATCAAGTTGGGGTTTAACAAAAGTCTCACCTGCTTTCTGTAAAAGTGGAATTGCATAAGTTTTAAAATTATCAATCGTTATGTGTTTTGTGACATCTGACATATGAAGTTTATTTTTATCAGATTCCATATTTAAAAGTTTTTCCAATGGTGCTTGGGGGTTTTCGACAAAACACTGTTTTTGACAATTTTGGGGAAAGTAAGTGTTGATTAAAGTAGATATAAATGATGCAAATGTATTAACATAAATGGCATTTGTAAGTCTATTGTTTTCCCCGCGAATACAATCCATCAGTCTATAAACACTATTATCATAATTGTCGCACACAAAAGACAATTTATCAACAACTTTACTTGTCTTTCTACAAAAAGACATAAAACTTTTACATGTATCAACAAAACGTTTGTATAAAATAATTGCACGAATTGCCCAATAGATACAACAAGCAATAATGATATTAGCACATAATGTGTATAAAGCAAACTGACTGAAATCTTTAACTATCATTTGGATTAAATCAAGTGTAGTTTGTAATAACTATTTGTGTTTAAGTGTTTAATTATTTTTCACCATTTGCCAGAAAATTGAAAAATAAATAATCAATAATTATATTAATTAATCAATAATATATCATAAAGTTAAGAGGAAGTTAATTCAAATTATTTATCTATAATGAAATATCTTGTTGTTGTCGGAAGCGTTATATCTGGTATTGGAAAAGGGATTTTTTCAAGTAGTTGTGGTGTTCTTCTAAAAAGCATGGGATATAAAGTTACGGCAATAAAAATAGATCCATATTTAAATATCGATGCGGGATTAATGAACCCAAATGAACACGGTGAGGTATTTGTCCTTAATGATGGAAGTGAGGTGGATCTTGATCTTGGGAACTATGAAAGATTTTTAGACATAAATTTCACATCAGATAATAATATTACAACTGGGAAGATTTACCGAAATGTAATTAACAAAGAACGTGAAGGAAAATTTTTAGGAAAAACTGTACAAGTCGTCCCGCACATCACTAATGAAATTCAAGAATGGATCGAATCTGTTGCCACAAGCGATATTTCAAACGATATTTGCACAATCGAACTTGGTGGTACAATTGGAGACATTGAATCTAATCCTTTTATTGAGGCTTTGAGACAGTTAAGAAAAAAGGTCGGCCCTGGTAATTTTTGTCTTGTTCAAGTTACGCTCGTTCCCGGTGAAGGTGCTGATCAAAAAAGCAAGCCAACACAATCATGCGTAAGGGATCTAAGAAGTCTCGGTCTTGCACCCAATATTATAGCATGCAGATGTAAATATCCTCTAAATGAAGAAGTCAAAAATAAAATCAATCATTTTTGCGATGTTGATAAATCACATATTATATCATTTCATAACTGCGGAACAATATACGAAGTTCCAATTTTGCTTAAAAAACTAAATCTTGAACAAATATTTATTAAAGAATTAAATCTTGACCCTGAAAAAACTATTGACTCAAACAAGAATGGGTATTATGAACTTTGGTGTGAAATGGCCAAACGATTTTATCATTTCGAAAACAAATCAGTTAAAATCGGCATTGTCGGCAAATACACAAAAACAGCCGATGCATATTTTTCGATCATTAAAGCATTGGAACATGCATCGGCAAAACTCGGTATTTGTGTCGTACCTGTATTAGTTGAGTCATCGGATCTTGAAATTGATCCTTTAGAACCTGAATTTTCCGATTTGTCTGACACATTAAATTTAAATAATATTGTGTTAGATAGTCAATCAAAAAAAACAATAGCATGGGATAAACTAATTGAATGCGACGGTGTTTTGGTTCCCGGTGGATTTGGCAACAGAGGTGTAAATGGCAAATTGGCGGCAATAAAATATGCGAGAGTAAATAAAATACCATTTTTTGGAATTTGCTATGGAATGCAACTTGCAGTGATTGAATATGCAAGAAATGTTTTAAATCTCAATGATTCTAACTCGACGGAACTCGACCCAGAATGTGAACATAAGATTGTTATAAATATGCCCGAGATTCGTAATGATATAATGGGAGGAACTCAAAGGCTAGGCGTCCGTGAAACAGTGTTATTTGACTCTAATGTTAAAACATTTTATAATGGAGCCAACACAATTTTTGAAAGACATAGACATAGATACGAAGTTAATCCCCAATATGTTAAACGTATCGAAGAAACTGGGATGAAATTTGTTGGAAAAGATACTAAAATGGAAAGGATGGAAATAATAGAGCTCAAAGACCACCCGTTTTTTGTCGGAACACAGTTTCATCCAGAATATATATCAAGACCTCTTCATCCAGCATGTCTATTTGAGGCATTTGTTCACGCAGTTGCAAAAACAAAAAACTATTTTTAATTATACTTAAAACATATTTTGATTAAAACAATTCTATTTGAAATATATTAACCATAAAACATGTTTTATTTTTTTGTGACCTGCGTACGTCAATTTATAAATGTGTGAAAAACCGACAAAAAACACACCAGTATGTTTTCGCGACGATTTTACAGGTAAAATATGTCACATAATTGATATTTTTCCATTTTCAAAAAATAAACGTTGCGGCACTGACAAACAGTAAATGATTTATGTCTTGAAAAAGTGTTATTAACTTAATGACGTTAATCACAATATTAAGAGACTTTAAATAAAAATAACATGTTTTTCTAATAAGGCCGCTTTTCTTTTATAACGATGCGAGTGAATATCCGCCATGCTGTATTGTTGATTTTGGTGTTTTGCTTAAACAGTTAAATGAATACAAGATGTTGGAATTTACGGAGAGTAGTGAAATTGACACAACAATAGACGAGTTTTACAAAACCGAAAAATTTGAGGAAATCGTTAAGAATATAACAAAGAAGTATCACGAGGATACCATGAAAACTAAATCGGGTTCCATATAATTAGAGGATCTTGTTATGGAATTAATAAATATAAAACTGGATGTTCCGAAAACTAAACAGAAATCAAAATCACGTTGGGGGTATACGTGAGAATCCGAATATATGCGCTTTTGTTGCCAAAGGAATGAAAAAAGCGATTGATAAATCCTTAACTGACTTGAATGATAGATATTCCCTAAATCAATAAGTGGGGGTGGGGATAGAATATGATGAAGACAATCGCTGTTTTTGATTAACTGCTAATTTACGTCTCTCTTTAGTCTGTTTCTTTTACGGGGCTAGACGATTAGGAAAACGTGAATATGTTTATTTTTAATCAAATAAATCTGTTTTTTTATTAATTTACAACCATTTTATTAAAAATATGGTTTAGATGTTTATTGTTTTTGTTTATTCGGTTTTTGGAAAATCACATCTACAAAACGCTAAAAATTGCAAAAAGAATAAATATCAATAAATTTATCAAAAACCGCAAAAAGTCGTAATTTATATCGTCCCAACCTTCTATCCCTTACATACTCCTAATGTTAAACCAATTTGTCTCATTTCATCTCTGATTAATTAACCATGATTACGTTTTCTTAATCTTCAAATCTCTTTAATACTAAAAATTAAGTCGACACTATTTAACCAATATATTTAATGTGACTGATTAATCTGTTTACTTGTTTTTAATCTTCAACCCGACTTACAACATATTTACTCGAAACATATTCACTTATGACGTATTTTAACATGTAATGATTATTTATTGAAACAAATTTACTTAAAACATTTTTATTATGAACCATAAATTTATTGAAACAAAATAACTTGAAACATTTTTATTACGAACCAATTATTTATTGAAACAATTTTACTCGAAGTATTTTTGCAACAAATTTAGTTTGAAATAAATTCACTTGTAACACATTTTTAATTGAAACATGATTTACTTTACTTAAAACAAATTAATTATGAAACAAATTAACTTTATCAGTATATGTCAAAATGTGAATATGTTTTGGCATTGGGGATTTAAAATAAGGCAAATTTTGTGTTTATATCTAAAAGGTTTATATCACAGCGACAACTATAACTAATTGGTTTTTGTTGTTATTTTATTGTTTTGTTTTTTTGTATTATTATTTTGTTGTTTTATTATTTGTGTAGTTTTTGGTGTTCATTTACTAATCAATACAAATACACTAATAATTTAAAAATGTCACAATACAAAAAGTGTTAAATTAACAATATAATATATGTTGTCTTTCGCCCTCTATGGTTTCAACGGCATTTTAATTAAAATAAAAAGCCATATAACATGATGCCGATCCGATAAACAGACCATGAGCAAAAAAACACAAAGAACATAAAAAAACAATTGATCTTAAATTTTTACATAATTGAACACTGATTGCGAGTAGTTGTTTGTGGAATAAAAAGTTTGGGAATCTTACTTAAAATCGACTCGTCAGGCCTATCATAATCTGTACGATGAGCCCATGTTATCATTGGATTAAAATTAAAATTACCAAATATGTTTTTATCATCGCTATTATCGATGTAAGTCTGATCCATATTAATCGAATGCACCTGGCAGTAAATGCGACCAAGTTCTTGGCTCGGGGGTTCCCATATGTTTTCTAACCATTTGTGAAATTTTTTCCCTCCTGCTGCACCTGCTGCATCTTCAAAACCAAATGGTTTAATAAGTCTTTCATAAATGGCTAAAACGCCGACAGGTTTAAGGAGTTCAATTGCCTCAAAATCATATTCACTTTCATTTGGAAAACACCAGTTTAAAAATAAAACACAGTTGCCTACAATATCAGGCTTTGATTCAATTAAATCTTTTACATAAGGAAACATTGGTTCAATATATACGCGCTGATCTTTGTTGTCGCCAGATAACAATGGATCAGGGTCTATACATATCCATTCGATATTTGTTCCTTTTTTATTTACGTCAAATTCTATGTGTGCCAAACCCGACCCAACACTGATAATTGGCAGATTATAAAAACACGCAAACTGCTCGATCGCTGACGCAACAACATCGGGTCCAATACAGTTAATACCGCGATTATAAATCGACATGGGGATCTGTTTTGTTAATAGGAAAGATTGTGAGAAGGTGTGTAAATGAAATATATTAATGTTTTCCAAAAAAAAACGTTTTCATTTTTTTGCGTTATAATGTCGATTAACACTAAAAAAAGCATATTTTGTCAAAAAAATATAAAATGCAAAACGTGTGTTGTAAACAATAACCAAAAACAGAATAAATAAAAAATAACAAAAAAAGTATCGATAAATACAATTAAACTATTTTCAGTAATATGGGTATATATTTGAAGACCATCCAATAACTATCTTTACAGCCTTCTTTTTCGTCAAGCGGATTTTATTAATTTTTTCATCAGTTAATACAATTTCTTTACGACTCAGAAGTTCATCTAAAAAATCTAGTTGTTCTAAATCCATACCCCCCAGTGTGTTCATCATGTTAAGTCCGTGTTTCCCACAACACATCCATGTCAATTGGCCTTCGTCATTATATCTTTCTTTATCATAATACCTTTTAAAAAAAGTACAGAATGACCGAACGCGTTCGTTGTTTGGCATAATGAATGTTGATTTAACAACAATAAATTTTCTTCCCTTATTATCAACACCTTTAACAACGTCATTACCGTTTGTGTCTCCTGTAGTAATAAAATCCAGATAATCACCAGTGTTGATTTTTTTTCCAATATCAATTGTTGGACAATTATATGAACTAATTTTCTCAATCAATTTACCCATTTTTTCGCGCGTTTCTGGCGTATGCGCATTATAATCCATTTTAATATGTTAATTTATTGTTGTACTTAACAAATCCAATAAATAAGTTTTCAAATAAATAATAATTCATTTTTTTCAATCATGTAAATGTCCAAATAAACCAACAGGACGAATAAATAGTTTGCCTTGGAATTATTACACATTTTTCACTAAATTTTGGACAGATGTTTAACTATTTTTATTTATATCGGCATGTAATAAATTAATTTGAAATATTTTTAGTATGAAACAAATTTATTTGAAACAAATTTACTTAAAACGTTTTTAGTATGAAACAGTTTTAGTATGAGACAGGTATTAAAACAAATATTGGTTGTAACAATTTTACTTGAAACAATTTAATTTGAAATGTTTTTAGTATGAAACGGTTTTAGTATGAGACACGTTTTGGAACTATATTGGCTGAAACTAATTTACTTGAAAACAAATTTAGTATAAAACATTTTTAGTACGAGACTAATATTGACCGAAATAAATTAACTTGATACAATTTTACTTGTGACAAATTTAGTATGTGGTAGTTTTAGCGTGAGACAAGTATTGAAAACAAATATTGGTTGAAACAATTTTACTTGCAACAATTTTAGTGTGTGGTAGTTTTAGTATGAGACAGGTATTGAAACAAATATTGGTTAAAACATTTTTAGTATGAAACAAATATTGATTGGAACAAATTTACTTGAAACATTATTAGTATGAAACAAATTTAGTATGAGACAAGTATTGAAACAAAAATTGAGTGAAACTAATTTACTTGAAACATTATTAGTATGAAACAATTTTAGTATGAAACATAATTCGATTGAAACAAATATACTTGAAACATTATTAGCGTGTAACAGTTTTAGTATGAAACAAGTATTGAAACAAAAATTGAGTGAAACATTATTAGTATGTAACATTATTAGTATGTAACATTATTAGTATGAAACAGTTTTAGTATGGACAATTATTGGGACAAATATTGACCGAAACAAAATAACTTGAAACAAATTAACTTGAAACAATTTTAGTACGAAACAATTTTAGTACGAGTAGTATTGACCAAAACAATTATACTTGAAACGATATTGGCATTGAGCAGTTTTAGTATGAGACAAGTATTGAAACAAACATTAGCTGAAACAATTTTACTTGAAAACAAATTATCTTGAAACAATTTTAGTGTGTAACAGTTTTAATATAAGACAAATATTGAAACAAACATTGATTGTAACATTTTTACTTGAAACAAATTTATTTGAAACAAATTTAGTATGAGACAAGTATTAAACAAAAAAAAACAAATTTACTTGAAACAAATTTATTTGAAACAAATTTAGTATGAGACAGTTTTAATATAAGACAAGTATTAAACAAAAAAAGAAACAAATTTACTTGAAACAGTTTTAGTATGAGACAGTTTTAATATAAGACAAGTATTAAACAAAAAAAAACAAATTTACTTGAAACAGTTTTAGTATGAGACAGTTTTAATATAAGACAAGTATTAAACAAAAAAAAACAAATTTACCCGAAACAGTTTTAGTATGAGACAGTTTTAATATAAGACAAATATTGAAACAAACATTGATTGTAACAATTTTACCCGAAACAGTTTTAGTATGAGACATTTTTACTTGA